CCAAATTAGAGAAGACCAACGGGATAACAAATAAACGACATCTTGATCAGTCGAAAAGATGTTAAATTCAACCCTGAAAAATTAAAAGAAAAACGATCGAACGAATGAAAACTTATCATAAAGACATAATTATTATAAATTTTAAAAAATTAAAAAAAATATTTGATATATGAAAAAGTAAATGAGAAAACTAATATCATAGTCTATCAAACAAAAAAAGAATAGAAAAAAACGATGATTTTAGTGTTTAAAGAAAAATAACCGATTAATCTTATTAATTTAAATATAATATATTTGTACGAACTAAACGATCTGAATGATAAAAAGATTTATTATTATTCTTTGAAGATTCATGTTAGAACATCGCGTATGTTAAGAATATAAAAATTCGATTCGATGTCAAAAGATTTAAAGTATTTAAACATATATTATCTTAAATTCACAGTGTATATATATAAAGTATTCGTTCAATTTAATTAATCAAATTACAATAGAGTAATTTTGTTTCTCCTTGTCCACCAAACGAAATTTCCTTAAGAGGCTCTGTGTCCTTGACAGTTGACTTTTGTATTTTTTTTTCTAATTTCCAACGTTGCCTCTGACCAAAGAGTAAATTAAACGCGGGGTTTTGGCGGACATGTGGCACACAATAGAAACAGTGATGCACAATAATTTGTCCTTTGCTCTTGTCCCTTTTCATTTCCTATACATTTTTTTCTTGACAATTTAACTTATTTGTATAAAAGGAAAAACTAATAAAATTAGATATAACTATACTTATTATAAAATGATTAATTGAATTAATATTGTGAATTAATTATTATTTTATAAGTTCATTTAACTTTTTAAATAAAGTAATTAAAAGTTATTATTATCTAATAATTAATATGAACTGATTAATAAAAAATAATTTGAAAGTATACTTTTACAAAATATTTCAATGTATATTTTAAAATTTCAATTAAATTGTTTTTAATATGTATTATTAATAAATTTTATAAATATCACAAAATATTTTCACTCATATTTTGAAAATCTTTTATTGATTTTAGTGTCACTTAAGTCAATGATTTTAACTTAATAGAAAAAAGTATAAATTTATAAGTTCACAGTAATAATTTACTTTTTAATAAAGAAATATATATTATATTTAAAAAATAATTTTTATTACAATTAAATTATTTATATAATCAAAATAATTTTTTAAAAAATATATATATATATATATATATATATATATAAATTTACTAAGTGATTTCAATAATAAAAAAGAACATTATTTTTTTCTAAACATGTCGAGTTCAAATAGTCACTTCTCCTAACTTTTCTTAAATGCAATTTTTTTCATAAACATCAATTAAATTGATTCATATATTCTCTTGATATATTGATCGATCATTATAAAGATATAATTAATATTATCTTTATAATAATATATTAAATGTAAAAATTAATTGATGCTTTCTAAGCCCTTCTTTTACTTCCTTAACATGCAAAAATATATTCTTAGTAAATGGATCTATTTTCATATATATTTTTTCACACATTTTTTTCAAGATTTAATATAAATTTATCCCTTAAAATATACTACTTTATCAAATTGTTTTAATTTTAAAAAATAATTTTGACTTAAAAAACTGAAAATAATTCTCACGACTCCGCGAGTGAAAACATGTGAAGAAGAATTTGATTCTTTGCTTTAGTTATTGTTTTAATAATTGATGATTAAGGTTATCGTGCTCCGTCAATACCGGCAAGCTTGTTTAGTTTTCTACGATTGATAGAGTGGCATGTTTCATCTTCCCATATAAAATTTATTTATATTTTACTTATCCTTATATTTTCGCAAAGGATAATCGATCCTTCATTGCACAATAATATATATTTTTTGTACCATCAGTGAGAGAATTTTTTGTTTTTTCAACTTTATATTTCTAGGATAAATTACGTATTTAATACCTAAACTATCAGTTTTAGTATTAAACTTTTAATTTTCTCAAAATCATACCTAAAGTTTATTTTTTTTTGTTTTATTTTAATACCCGTCGTTAAAAACTTAACGCATTTAGTACCTACACTATCAGTTTTGATCCGTTTTAGTACATAAATTTTTAATTTTTCTCAAAACATAAGTATGATTTAGAAACAAAACTTGTTTTAGTACCTAGACTTTCATTTTTTTAAAAACTTATCGGTGAGGTACTAAAATGGAATAAAACTAAACTTTAGGTATAATTTTAAAAATTAAAAGTTTAGATACTAAAAAAGATCAAAATTGATAGTCTAGGTACTAAATGCGTAATTTGCCCAAATTTATAAAATATATTTATTCTCTCAACTTGTACTTTCCAATATATTAATAAAAAGAATATTTATTCCCCACACATATTACTAGTATTAAATTTTGTTGGTCAGCCCCCCTGAATTTCCTTCACTATATCAATAGGACTGACAAAATATGAATTTAATCATATATATCCATTATCCACAAGAGTTCACGAAAGATGAAAAGCTAATTTGCATTTTTATATTATTTGCTTGAGATAGTTATTTTAAAATTAATAATAAACCAGTTGGTAAAGTAGTTAATTTTTTTTTCATAGATGAAGTAATCAAGTAGACATATGGAAGAGATGTATTTATTCTTCAAAATCCAATCATCCCAACGTCCAAGCAATGTAATAATAATGAAAGTAAACACACAGTCCTTTACCCTACTTGTTTTTATTACAACTTTCCCAGTGAAATGCAATTGCTTCTGCAGGTATGGTTGCTTGAATATTATTTAGAAGAAGAAAAAGAAAGTACCAGTTGCTTCTCAGACACGTCAGCAGATATGGGAAAGATCGTGTTCATATTATTATATGAGTAGGTATAATAAAAGTAATTGAATCTGATAAATTAATAAAGGATAATACGTTATTGATAATTTCTGATTAAATCTTGCACAATTTTCCTTTTTTTTAAAAATTATAAAGTTTGGTTATTTTCGTTTTTCTTTAATTAAGATTCGGTCTTATCTAATTAAGATGTAGTAATTGACGTTAATTGTTGATATACCTTCAATAGATGGTTGATGTGGCACTTAGAAAATTAAAAACGGTAATTTATACAAGTGGTCAATAATGTTTGAGTATGTTTTTATTTTCCTCATTTAAGTTTAAAAATAATAAATTAGTCACTAAAACATCAAATAGGTCTTTGAACAATGATTTTATGTCTGATTTATTCCAAAAAAACTTTCTAATTAAATTTTTATCATTCGAAATATTCGATTGTTTCATGTCCAAAAAAGTTCATTTTCACGTTTTATTTTTAAAATTTAAAACGTACATGTATAGAAATTGGAAAATGATGGAAAAATTAGAAAGCTTTTAGGGTAAGTTAGATATAAAACTATTGTTCAAGGATCCATTTGATGTTTTAGTGACCAATTATTACTTTTGAAACTTTAATGGGAAAACAAAAACTTACTATAACATTAGTGATCATTTATGTAGTTTACCCTTTTTAATTTTCTAAATTCACATGCTACGTCAGCAATATGTTGAAAGTCTAACGACATTTAACAATCAATAACTTCATCTTAATTAAATAAAAACAAAAGTAACCAAATACTATAATTTTTGAATTCAATTAAGAAAAATATATATAACTTAAATGAAGTTGATCAATCCTATAGTTTACTCATTAATAAAACATCCAAATTACTAAAGAAAGAATGAAAATTTGATATGGGAATGGAGTTGTAAATCAATATTCCATCAAAAGGTGAGATTTGAAATAATTGAATTTAAATATATATTTGTAAATTATATAAAAATTTTATATGAACTGGAGTGAGTCAACCCACATGCTGATTTTTTTTGCTCACATCATAGTTTTGGCCATCGATATCTATTTTGTTTGTTTGTTGCCTTCTCGGTTATAAGATTTCGTCTTAATTAATTTGAATCGACTTACGTCATACACATGATTTTAGTGGACGAATCTCTTAAAAGATTTTTTTTGTATATACAAAGATTGAAACTCGACACCTTACTTAAACGATATCAAACTATTTACCCATTTAAAAAACCATGCTAATATTCCTTCCCGTCCATTGCTCGGCCCTTACGTCCTTATATGACTGGGTTTAACGTAAAAAAGTTTCTCTTTGATCGAGTTAGTGGCTTTCATTAACGTTTTTTAATTAAATTTTCTTCGAATACAGACAAATTCAAAATAAAACAAATTATTACATTGATAAGCCACTTTAGATTTACAGGATAATGTTCTTCCCCTAGTATATTGTGTTTTCTCTTTGACATTTGATTAGGTTTAGGTGCTGCCAAATGCCATGTTACCATGACACTTGTTTTCCACTTCACGTATCTTTGTTACATTGGTATAGGATCAAATCACACAAACATCTGTTCCCACTATTACTCTTTGCAATTGGAGTTGAACTTGTTCAACAAAACTACTTTGGCCTAACAAAATCTTCAATCCAAGGATTAAATTGCAAACCTTTTGTTTTTCATTCTTCACTTGATATTCGATGAAGACGAAAGAAAAATGATAAGAGGATGGTTCATGAATTCATCTCTCATTTATTTGCTAAAGCTAACCTCTCAATGTCCATTCATCACTTTCCACTAAACATAACTTGGGGGTATCTATCCATTAAGCAATTTATTTCCTTGTAATCATTATTTGCTCGTTGCTTCAATACTTCTCAATTAAAATTGTATTCAACGTAATTCAACTTCGAGATCGATTTCTTGTATTAGAATATTTTGAGTGAGACTCGTAATGTAAAGATTTATCAAATTCAACATCACCATAAAATCTATTAATTGGTTGAATGGTCAATGGCACTCATGTTGTCCTACTTTGTATGAGTTTGTACTCCAACATTTACTTGAATGTAATAGCTCCCCCACCTAACTAAAAAAAAAAATCAACATTGTTATGATATTTCATCCATTGAACAATGAGAACAGATATACGATAACAAAGTTTAGGTATTCACAAGTGGTTCAATGGATCAATCAAAACACTAATAAGTTAGAGAAAAGACAACATGAAGCCAATAATAGAAGTGAAAAAAGAAAAGTAGATATTTTTGAGGACGCTAAGACTAAGATGGTATTATCTCCCCTTGCGGAGTTTCACATTGTGGGAAAATATCATCACCAAAAGGAGTCAAAAGTCATCACTGATGTGTAATACATTCCAGTACAATTTTTCTTTATTAGAATCAACATGTTCTTCATTTGCAACCCTTTCTCCTTCTTCTCTCTTCTTACCCCACAACACACTGTACAGACCTCCAACCAGTAGCACAACCCCTGCAACACTGCAACATGAATGAAAAATAAGCATCAAATGATTGGTAAAACGTCACGAAACGGACGGTCGTGAGTTCTTGATAAATTTGTTAACATGAGTAATGGTATACAGTACCTTCCCCAGTGAAGAGTCTCGTTCCACAGGAATGCAGAGAAGATGGCAGTTATCACTAGAGCTAATGGAGTGAAAATTGCCGTGAAAACTGGACCTTTCTTCTCTATGGTCCAGACTTGCAGCCAGTATGTGATGCCAGCCACAATCACACCCTGCCAATATGCGATTTCATGAATCAATTTACGTCGAATTTGAGGCCGTATTCCCTACTTAGATATGCACTTATACTATATAATTTACTGTTAAACATGTTGTGCAAGTGGTGCAATCACTATGGTTTGCTCTGACAGGCTCAGGAATTGAAATGATTTCCATCATCTAGTGCCACAATTTTGGCCTAATAGGTTACATGACTTCTTTTCCAAGAGATGCTTTTAAAAGAGAATTGAATGAGAATACTAGAATTTTCTCTATTTAGGTCCTGGAAAAAAGGTAAATAGTAACTGATTTGATGACACTACTGTTGAAGCTTCTTCATGATTGTTATGGAGAAAAAGTTTAATGACTGGTTCGGGGCACATGTTTCTAGATATGTTAATTTTGATGCAAAGATGGTTTATAATGGATGAGACGATTAGCATACACAATATAAAACAGCTAGAAGATGAACATCCCATCCAAGCTTCCAAGCTGATGGATTTCTCTCTGCTGCAATTGCCCAAATTGCAGATTGAATGAAACTAAAGAAGCATTGTAGAGCCGTAAGGCGTAGTTTGGCCGGATATCGCTTCACAATTCGACCCTAAATATTGAAAATACATCGTCAAAGGATAAACATAAAAACAGTGGATAAAAAGGGATAATGGGATGAGAAGGATAGCATGTTAATTCATATCAAACCTGCAAAACAAGCCACATAGACCAAGCTGTATTGGCCGCAAGCATGATAAGGCAACCTTTTATCCACTCCCCTACCGAGTGATTCTTGATCACGGAATTTGTGGTTTGGTTGTGAGTTGATGAATTCCAGTTCATGGAATTTATAGCTGGCCCCTTAACAAAAGCAAATACAAATGCTCCTGAAAGACTGATTACTGAACCTAACACCTTGGCGAGTCCTGGAAGTTTTTGTACCGATATGCTTTCCGTCCTGAAATATTTGAAAGTTAGTCCTTTGGCTAGTGAAATAGACCTTTAATATTCGTTCTTTTCTCCATTTCTGAAGTACCTTAAGCTGACAGCAATGATTAAGGTAAGAACAGGAATGGTGTTGGTTGTGGCAGCAGCAAATGTTGCAGTGGTGTACTTGATTGCAACAGAGTAGAGATTTAAACTCAAGGTGAGCCTGACATTTTCATACTGTTAGAAAATCCTGAATTATGGGTTGATATTGGTTTATAACATCGAGTAAGATCAAGTTCGTACCCGAATAACGAAATCAAAAATATCTTCCAGATTAAATTGTATGACAGAGACGTCAGCTTACTGCAAATTAGAAGTTCCCCAAACTAAAAATAAGAAAAATGGGCAGACTACGGAGGGGTTAATGCAAACAAGAAATATTATGTACACTGAAAGAAACCTTTCGAAGAAGAAAGCAAATGGCGCTAACGTGATGGTGGCGAAGGCTTGCCGGTACACCACAAACACACAAGGGTTCATTCCTTTGGAAATTGCTGCTTTGGAAAACAAGGCCATGCCTGCATATATAAACTGTACAAAGAGCATTGCAATATAAGGCTTATGGTTAACCATAGGCATTGCATACTTAAGTAAACTCTTCATGATGTGATGATGCTTCTTAGCTTCCTTTTGTCAGTCTTGAATTGATAAGGTCTTCAATATATAGAAAAAACCAAGCACTCAGTAGACTCCTTTGGCCCTTTTTTTATATAAAAAAATAAAATTAAAAACTTTTTTCTATATATATTTTCTCTTCCAACGTGTCAATAATAAGTTAAAGTGGAAAGTGCTTCTGGTTCAAAAAAAAAAAAACTTGAAAACAATCATCTGAGGTGTACCACTAGAAAAAAACACTTTTTTCTTACTTTTCATGACTCAAGAGGAGACTGAAGCATGGGTTACTAAACAGCAGAGTGAATTAAAAAATGTAAAAGATAAAACTTTTACTAGATATATGTCATAAGCAAATTCAGCATCTAATCCTTTTATGGCAATATAAAAGCTTAGCTTACTTAACTACAGTTCATATTCTTTTTCTACCTATAGAACTCCCCTGAATTATTGCATGGTGGCAATGGCAAATGGCTAAGGGCACCCGCAAGTTAAATTTGGAGGTAATTTGATGTTGAATTTGGACACAATTGTTTGGACTACTTGCAAGAAGTGTTTATGTATGTATTAGCCTTTGGTTTCAAGTTCATGGCTTTTTTTTGGTAAAGTACACAAATGGTCTCCCGAGTATTGTATTGTTGAATCTTCTAACTATTGAAAGTTACAAAATGGTTATCCGGCTATTGTGTGTTGCTTTGTTGAGAGCACCGACTATTAAAAGTTACACAATAGTCGTCTGACTATTCATATGTTTCAAACTCGTTCTTTTCCTTTAAGAATTTGACGACATTCTAAGCTGGACGTTAACCTACTAACTTGATATGATAAAATCTAATCCCAAAATCTCAAATGATTAAATAGTTTAGACAGTTTTGATATCAAATTTTATTATATCCAGTCAACAGTTCAATGTAGAGGTTAAACAGGTAATGAAAGATAACAATGCAGTAGAAAAAGGTAATGAAAGATCTAAGTAATGATGCACTAGAAAAAGGTAATGAAAGATAAAGGCAGATCTTGGTTGAAGCTGCTATCATGTCTGTAAAATTTTTCAGACAGGACGAGTACATCAGACACATGCACCATGATACCCCAAGGAACAAGTGTCACAATCTTAGTCAAAGGTTTCATTCAATTTACCGTAAGATACAATCTCCCGGTTTTATGATCTTTGCAAGCTGCACTTTGTGTGTCAGTTTTGAGTATATCTTAATTCACCGATGTGATTCATTGCAGTATTCACAAGTCAACAGAAGAATCATGAACAAAGAACAAATTGAGCATGTGAGGTTATCGGGCTATATTGCAAATATGATCTAAACAGATCCCTGGAATGGAAGCTGTTTCACTTGTCCTTTTCCAGGAATTCAGACATGTTTTATTTTGATTTCACAACAGTTGAAACATAGAATCAACTGTTCGACAGACAATAATGGAAGAAGCACCAGCGAAATTGTTAAAGGCACGTTCCGCTTTATGATTCGTTGCCCCAAGCAGAGCTTTGTGTAAATATCCCTTCCCATCCACTTGCAACACCAAACCAATGGTGCCTTTGATGTTCTTCTTCGTTAACAGTGTCATCCATTCCCAAATATGAGCCAGATTTTGTGTAGAAAATAGCACAAGGAATAAAAAACTTGCCTGGTTAGTTTCACATGGTTTCTCGAATTATCAGTCATTCTTTTAGCACTGAGTTTGAACTTTCTTCTATCCACTAACCAGTGTGGCAGAAAGGTCAAATAAAAGTAGTTCAAAAATAGAAGGTAAAGATAGAAAGTTCCACCAAAAGTATATAAAAATAGAATGTAAGCTCTCCTCCAATAATGCAACTTCATCATTTCAATCCTCTCCGCTCTTTCTTCTTCTTCTTCTTCTTCTTCTTCTTCTTCTTTCTTTTTGCTTTAAACGTGTTATGTTTTGGCATAAGTTTCCGTGAGTGTTATGGCAGACGTCTTGTCAATCACATCGTATGTATCACGATAGTAAACAAAACGAATATTTCTGATAAAAGCATCAAAACGTGAAGATAGCAATCGTGACGGCGTATCGCAACTTTGCAAAAATTTCGACAGCCATTACTCTAGTTTTCCTGGATGATGCAATAAGATCACATCTCTGGATCGACACTATTGTTTGCCGAGCCAGATCGGCAGTAATGTCAGTGGACATCGGTGTAGGGCTAACAATGGAGATGAAGTCATTGATGAAGTAAGCCTTTCATAAAAAAAAATAATGGAGACAAATCCTCTTAACTCAATCCTAAAATATGGTAGTAGATGATCCACAATCCCACTACCAAGTTTATAAAGTCACGTTTCCATAATATATTTAGATGGTGTCACTTACTTAAAATTACATTATAGTATCTAATTCAAGATTAAATAAAAAAAAGATTTAGCAAAATTGATATCGAGATTGATAGCGCTAGCGCAATTTGGGTGGTGTATGGAACTTCAGTTTCACTGGACAATCATACTCTTATAGATGTGATTCGTGAGCAAAATCAAGTAGCAGAAGAGTTGACAAAACTATATCGAAGGTAACCTTTAGACGAGATGTTATTCCATATTCCTTCAACTAGGATGATTTTTGTTGTTTCTCGCCGAGCTCAGGAAGCTACGATTTAGCTAATGTCTGGTTTGAGGAAAAAAACATGAGGAAGGATTCAATTAATTGTATATCCTGCAAAATTAACGTTCGTTGAATTTAATTTCCCTGTCTTTGGATCATTTATCAAGTTCATAAATGTTTTAGAAAGTTGATATTATGGGTCTAAACCCAATGGTCATTTACATGTACTATTGGATCTAAGCCTAATAACTTATATTTATGGGAGATGTTAACTATTCATGTCCGACAAATATTTTATCTATCTTTATGCTACATTTTTCTCCACTTTTATGACACAATTTCTCATGGTTATAATATATTCTTGTTATTTATTTTTCTTAGAGTTATATTTGATATCTTCGTGACCAGGCCCCTCCATCGACAAGTGCGACATATGATACATCACAGGGCCACAAAATTTAAGGCCCCACACTTTAAAAAATATCTTTTTTTGCTTATAAGAGCATTCGATTGATGACATTTTTTAAATAAAATGTCACATTGTATGGTTGTTTTGTGACATTGTCTTAGTTCAATATGTTTGGATTTTTATTTTATTTTTAAGGAACAATTGTAATATGGTAAATTTTGATATTTTACAATTTCGTCTTATTATAAAATATTTTAGGGTCCTAATTTTAAAATGTAGCACTTAGTCTTTAAATCTATTAGGACAGGCCTGACCACGACCAATCAAGATGACGTTCATTTGTTATTTCGCTAGTCTTTCCTACTTTGGACCATCGAATTGGATCTAGATACACAATCTAGCCCGTAAATAGTTTTCTCACAATGTTTAACTTTAATTTGTGTTTGTCAGTGGTCTTGTTGAGTTAATCGATCGATGAAATCGGCCAAGAGGGGGGTGAATTGGCAATTAAAAATTTGGTGAAAACTTTTGCAGAAAATTTAAAGTAATTGCACAGTGATTTACAGTTGTTCGACTTTCTCAATCAAAGTCTACGTCCACTACCTTAGCTATCCACACTAAGGATTTTTCAACAAATTCACTAATTTGTTCTTCTTTTGAGGCCAAAGAGATAACCTTATAACTCCCTCAAGAATATACCCCAATTCTTGAGAACACTCTTTCTCAAAGAGAAAATTACAAATTCGCAAACTTAATGAAAAACCTCATAAGGCAAATGTGTTTGCACAATTCTAGAACAAAGAAATAACACTCAAGAATAAATACAATTGAGCACAATAAGTGTTCTTGAAAGCAAAAATTAATATTGAATGAAAAATAGGCTTGAAATGCTCAAACTTGAGGTTTGATGCTTTCTCTTTGATTCTCTCTTGATTCTTGATGATTGTTGTTTCTTGTTATTGATCAATGGCTTCTAAGCTTGTTTAAATACTCCTTGAATCACTTATGAACGTTGGGGATCTTTAATTAAGTCATTAGAGTCGTTATTGTGTGAAAACAATTAATAAAATTAGTTGGGAGCGTGTGTGTGCATCGATGCATAGGGCTAGTGTATCGGTACACTATGAGTAAAATTCAAATATTTCGACCGTTGGAACACTTAGTGCATTGGAGCACTAAGGGTGCATCGATGCATAAAATGCATTCGATGTTTTAAAATAGCCTGAGTGCATCGATGCATGGCTTGTGCATCGATGCATGGCTTGTGCATTGATGCATAAAATGCATTCGATGTTTTCATAAAAACCTGAGTGCATCAATGCATGGTATGTGCATCGATGCATAAAATGCATTCGATGTTCAATTTATTCAATGGTTTATTGATGCATGGATTGGTGCATCGGTACACTCTTTTGAAAAATTGATTTTAGGCTCGTTTTTGGTTCGAAATACTTTGTGAAAATTGTTTCAAAAATATTTTAAGATTAAAACACAATTTTACACTTTAGTAAGGATTGAAATTGATCTTTGAAAGACTTGGAGTAATATTTTGATATTCAGTAATTAAATCGAATATACTTAGAAAATCATTTGTAAAATCTTAAAATTCATTTATATTTAATTTGTTATATCGAAACATTAAAATGTTTTTAACAATCTCCCTCTTTTTGATATAACAAAACATTTGAGTAATTTTAAGATTTTCTTTGAACATAATTTTTGTAAACAATTTTAAAATTTAATTTACTCCCCCTTACTATATTCTCCCCCTTTTTGTTAAATAAAAAAACTCTAAAACTTTTTAAACAAGATTTAAAAAAAAGCCAATTGTTCTTTATAAAATTAAAGCTTAAGCTACTAAGATCAGAAACAAAAGAGAGATTAGTCATTAGTTTTCATAATCAATATTCATAAACATGTAATGGATAATTGGTCATATATGTCTAATAATGCAAAAATAAGTATTAATATCAAAAAAAATTTCAAACCAAACATATATATATTAAGATCTAATATCCAAAGCAA